ATAATTGAAGGACTTGCCGAAGCAGAAAAATATAATTCTGTGTAAATTTATAAGATATTAAATTTATTAATGATATTGATCGGACTGCATGGATGTACAGACTGGCCTGGCTCTATACTGGTGACAGAGTCTCCTCAATTCTGCATCCAGCAATTTATATGATATAGACTGAGACGAAACTGCTAGTATTGAGTATACGACAAAAATGTATATATGATATTAAGGCAGGGTCTTTCAAATAGAATGGAAACGCGCTGTGTAAACCATTCTCGCTACAGGTATAACTCGGTAAAGTTTGCTATACGCAAATTATGTAAGTATTCAAGAAAATGGCGAAAATTAAATACAAGAGCAAAAATGAAAATTCTAACAATATGATGTTCTTTCAAAAGCTTTAAACTTGTTACAAAAGGATAAATATTTTTAGAAAATAATGCTTTTTAAAGCCTTATCTGTTGAAAACCATAGACCCAGATTAAGGCGACTGTTTAATGACTTTTTATCTTAATCAGTTTAGCAAATTCTATATTGCAAACGATCAAAATATACGATCATATAATCTGTCAAAAGTTATATACGGACTTTATAATACACAAACTATTCCTTATATATTTGAGGAAACATAAACATTTCACACCTATACTATATCACTATATTCCCGTCGGCCATGGCAAACCACCGTGTTGAAATTTGGATGAGCGTTAGACAAGGCATGGTGACGGGAAAGGCAAACGTGAAAAGTCGTGCTAGAAATTTAAATTAACAAAATAACGGTCACTGTAGTCAGTGTGCAATGGTAGCAATAGTCCATATCAAGACGGGATAAACGCTAACAAACAAAAACAAGAGCCCAGTTTGAACCGGGTGATGCTCCCCGAATAGGGTTTTGACACAGGAAAGTACACTTCTTGTAGTTTCAGAGTTATGTCCCTGACAAAGTTTAAATGTAAAAATGAAAAAAGGCAATAACTCCAACATAAGGAAAGGCAGTTACAGTTCTTGTGCACTGCACATCTACTTAATGAGGTCTATCTACCTACAAAGTTTCATGTTGATATCTCTTATAATTATCGAGTTATGTCTCAGACAAGATTTTTCTTAAAGGGGAGATAATTCACAAAAGGGGCAAAATAGAATTATGGTTCTTTGACAATGCACTCCGCCTCGATGTCCTCTACCAATGTGTGAATTTTAAACAAAATATCTCCAAGGGTTTTCAAGTTATGCTCCGGACAAGACAACAGACGGACAGACGGACAAGGCTGCGACCACATGCTCTCCCTTCGGGAAGCATACAAAACGTGACAGTACGTAAAAGGATGTAGGCCCGTAAAATCTGGAAAGGAATAATATCTGAAGTTGGTTTCCTATTTTGTCATGTTGTGCTCCGTTTTGTCACGGTTCTCACTACGACAGCGAATCTTACGGCGTGCGACATTTTGCAATATGGTATGTAAAAGTAACATTACATTATAGTTACGATCATCCAATGAAAATCATCGCAACAGACGAGTTGTTTTACACATGATTTTAGCATTTGTACAAGAAAAAAAAGAAAAATTACTTGAAGAGATAGTGTTTCACTTTCAGACTGTTCTTTAAACCCTTCTCGTTACAATTAAACATGTCTCGGTATAGTTTGCTATACGCAAATTATGTAAGTGTTCAAGAAAATGGCGAAAATTAAATACAAGAGCAAAAATGAAAATTCTAACAATATGATGTTCTTTCAAAAGCTTTAAACTTGTGACAAAAGGATAAATATTTTTAGAAAATAATGCTTTTTAAAGCCATATCTGTTGAAAAGCATAGACCCAGATTAAGGCGACTGTTTCATGAATTTTTATCTTGATCAGTTTAGCAAATTCTATATTGCAAACAATTATATACGATCATATAATCTGTCAAAAGTTATATACGGACTTTATAATACACAAACTATTCCTTATATATTTGAGGAAACATAAACATTTCACACCTATACTATATCACTATATTCCCGTCGGCCATGGCAAACCACCGTGTAGAAATTTGGATGAGCGTTAGACAAGGCATGGTGACGGGAAAGGCAAACGTGAAAAGACGTGCTAGAAATTTAAACTGACAAAATAACGGTCACTGTAGTCAGTGTGCAATAGTAGCAATAGTCCATATCAAGACGGGATAAACGCTAACAAACAAAAACAAGAGCCCAGTTTGAACCGGGTGATGCTCCCCGAATAGGGTTTTGACACAGGAAAGTACACCTCTTGTAGTTTCAGAGTTATGTCCCTGACAAAGTTTAAAATGTAAAAATGAAAAAAGGCAATAACTCAAAAATAAGGAAAGGCAGTTACAGTTCTTGTGCACTGCACATCTACTTAATGAGGTCTATCTACCTACACAGTTTCATGTTGAAATCTCTTATAATTATAGAGTTATGTCTCGAACAAGATTTTTTTCTTAAATGGGAGATAATTCAATTACAGGGCTAACCAGAGCTATGGTTCGTTTGCAATACACTTCTACCCAATGAGATCTATCGACCTACAAAGTTTCATGTTGACATCTCTGATAATTTTAGAGTAATATCCCGGACAAAGTTCAAAGTGTAAAAATAATTAAAGGGCAATAACTTCAAAATTTGGCAAAGCAGAGTTACAATTAATTCTTATGATTGTACTGCACATCTAATCATTGAGATCTATCTACCTACAAAGTTTCATGTTGATATCTCTTTTTTTTATCGAGTTATGTCTCACACAAGATTTTTCTTAAAGGGGAGATAATTCACAAAAGGGGCAAAATAGAGTTATGGTTCTTTGACACTGCACTCCGCCTCGATGTCCTCTACCAATGTGTGAATTTTAAACAAATTATCTCCAAGGGTTTTCAAGTTATGCTCCGGACAAGACAACGGACGGACAGACGGACAAGGCGGCGACCACATGCTCTGCTCTCCCTTCGGGAAGCATACAAAACGTGACAGTACGTAAAAGGATGTAGGCCCGTAAAATCTGGAAAGGAATAATATCTGAAGTTGGTTTCCTATTTTGTCATGTTGTGCTCCGTTTCGTCACGGTTCTCACTACGACAGCCAATCTTACGGCGTGTGACATTTTGCAATATGGTATGTAAAAGTAGCATTACATTATAGTTACGATCATCCAATGAAAATCATCGCAACAGACGAGTTGTTTTACATAAACTTATTTTACTGCTGTACAAAAATTCTTTACTTGGCTCATTTTCGAAGAAATTTAGGCTTACTATTATTTTCTAAGAAATTAAGGCTTACTATTGTTACAGTTTCTAACGATATTCAATATAGAGCAACAAGTTAAGGTAACTTGATAGCCAACCGACATACAAATCATACATTAAAGGTTTTAAAGTATCAGTCAAAAAGTTTGGAATGGGTGTAAAATAAAATATACAGTATCATTTTTTAAGTGACATTTATTCATGGTATTTTTGCGCTATGATCATGGAGGTGAAATAATATACAAAACAATGAGCAAATGTAACAGCGACCTCTCACTGCCAAGAGATGTCATTAATCAAACAAAAATATGTGTCTCACATGAGTGAATATAATTAATTAATTATACATGTATTATAATTCACTTTGGCTACACATTGTACTATCTTCAGAGAAAAAATATCAGCCCTGGATTTATCAGAGTGCAAAATTTCTTAAGGGTAAGGTATATTCCAAAGTGAGGTTGACCCAGAGGGGGAGGTTGGGGTGTCATGAATCAAAATTTTGCTGAATTTCACAAATTTTTGAGAGATTTTCAGTTTATATTCAAATATAAGAGGGTTCCTCTTACTAGCCATATCCAAGTGGTGACCACTAAACCCTGTCCCGTTCTCCACTGGATCAACAAATGATTATTTCAAACCAATGCAATGTATATAAGTACATAAAGATTCAAAACAAATAAAATATTCTCTCAACAACATATTCGATACAAATAATGTGAATATATTTACCAATTTTAAACATCTTGTACAAATGCTAAAATCATGTGTAAAAAATTATTAAAAATGGGGCGATTCTTACAGATCTCTTTTTTTTTAAAATACAATTTTCGTATAAATACGAGTCTATTTCCAAACTTTATGTTCTTGTGCCATACATAATATGTGGAATGTTACATTATAACATACACTTTAGAAGAAAAAAGAAACTGACAATATCTAAGTTACTTGTAGACACTTTTCTTCATTTATTACACTGTGCCTTACTACAATATTTAATTATTAAATTAGAGCTATTAACTTTTGTATGTATGTACGCGTTTGTCCCTGAAGAGTTTGAATGTTTTTGTTTTTTTACAAAATTAAGTTTATTTTAATATCCTGTTTGGTGGCAAATCCTGTATGTAGTACTAACATTCAAAGTTATGGGAATTCTCTTACACAAATCTACAATTTTCACACACTAGAATTAGTTGACAAACCATTCATAATTAGCTGATCACAACATACAATACAAACAGCCAAGATCACTTTAGTCCAATAATGTCAAATGTCATACTGTTACTAAGATTTTGGCTTGCTTGCGTGTATATCTGGTGTACTTAATCCATATTTCTGTTTCATTTTGTCAAGTTCTTCTTTCTTTTTATCTGCATCTATTTTCTTGAATGCCTGAAAAATAAACAAAACATTATGATAACACACTGTGTTTGACATACATTATTAAGTTATACACAATGCAAGTGTATCTAATTGCACCTGTAAGACTGTGCTTGAAGATAATCAGTAAGGAATTCCATACAGAAAAATGTCAAGGTTAAACAGAATTCAATGAAGACCAGATGCTTTATGTTAAAATATCCAGCATGTCATATGTCAAAAGACAGCAATCACAGCATGTGGGGCCATATGCAAGTGGTCAGTGAGTCTGGCTAATAATCTAAGCATTGCTGTCTTTGTGGGCTCAAACCCATCAAGGTCAAGCCATTACTTCTTTGAGCATGAAACTTCCCTCATTTTCATTTCTTAGTACTGGTTGGTCTGTGTGTATGTCTATGAGCCAGAAGCTTCCTACATGTACACTACCCTCCATAATTAAGTATACACTTATGAATAATATGCTTTTTGTCAAATTTTGCGCTAATAGCTAACATTATTTCAATTGTTTTGTCTTCATTCTGTAATGCAGGTAATCTTTATTAAAAGGGAGAGAATAAAAACACACCGTTTCACTGTTTTCAGACAAATTATGCGTTGATTTAAATTTGAGGCAATTCTTTTCAATTCACCAAGTTTTTTTAAAGTGAGATTTGTCAAAAACAAATTCAATCCAAATCATACAATCAACATGATCAATGCGTGAAATGACATAATATAACATTTTTGGACAAAAATCATCAATAGAACACAACAATAAAATGGTTCGTTTGACAGAAGAACAGCGGGTAGAATGTCTGGTCCGTCACCAACATGGAGAGAGAATCACTGCCATCGCAAGAGTCCTTGGAGTCACCAGGTAAGTGTCTTTTCTTAAGTTTTAACTCTTTTTTATGTCTTTACCAATTAAAATGAATGTCTTGACCAAGTTTTATAGAAATTGACCTGATATTTGTCTTAATATTTCTTGCAGGAAGACAATTTACAAGACATTGAAGCGCAAGAGAGAGACAGGACGACTGGCTGAAAGACCTCGTTCAGCGTGCCCTAGACTTTCAAATATGAGAGATGATTGAGCCATCATTAGACTCAGTCTCAGAGATCGTCAGGAGACTGTGCCTTCCCTCAGAGCTTCATGGGAGAGCTATGGAGTCTCAGCCAGCCTCACCACAGTAAGGCGTAGATTACAGGATGCTGGTTTACATGGACGGAAGGCAGTCAGGAAACCTCTGTTGACCCCGGTTCACCGGCAGAAGTGCATTGCCTTTGCTCAGAAGCATGTTGATTGGACTTGGGTTGACTGGAGTGCTGTTCTTTGGACAGATGAGTCCAGATTTACTCTGTTCCAAAATGATGGAAATGTGTTTGTCCGGGGCGAAGTTTTGAAAGGCTTCACAATGACTGTGTTGTGCCAACAGTGAAGTTTGGGGGTGGTGGAGTGACTGTGTGGGGTGCAATGTCATACAGAGGCCCAGGTTTTCTCCATACTATTCACGGTAACTTTAATGCACATGGATACATTGACATTTTGAACAATGTTGCAATCCCCTCTGCCCACTACCTTGGATATGGCGACTCCTACTTCTTCCAAGATGATGGGGCTCCATGTCACAGGGCCAGAATAGTCAATGTCTGAAAGCAGGAGCATGACATTACTGACATTGGACAGTGGCCACCACAAAGCCCTGAAATGCAGTGTTCGCGACTACAGATCAAGAAATCTTACCGATTTGGAAGCCAATTGAAGGGATGCTTGGGACAGAATACCTGTAGAGAGGTGTCAAAGACTTATAAGAAGCATGCCAGAGAGAATGATAGCTGTTATTGCTTCCAAAGGAGGCTATACACGTTATTGAAAATGAATTATTGGCAATGCTGCTTCATATCGTGAATTGGTATTTTGTATACAGACTTTTAAAAAAGTTCTTAATGTTGTTTAATGACCAAGTTCTTGTAATGCAGACTTTTATTTGTCAATGAATAACAAACAAACTTGATATTAAATGAATTAAATGCCAAATAAAATATTTGTTTAAGTTTAAGAGCTGTTTGTTTTTGCCTATTTTATGAAATATCACACTGTATACTTACTTTTGGAGGGTAGTGTATTATACAATCAAAATTTTTAAAAACAATAATAAACAATAATAAACTGCAAGAGTCTGAGGTTATACAATTTGCAATAACACCATACTGTAGCAAAAATGTTTCAATCTGCAATTTTAGTCCAAAGATTGGAAAACCTATTTTATTTTATTTTCAATTTAGAGTACATGGCCCAATGCTGACTATAAAACCATACAAAAAATGCATGTTGATTCACATACATTGTATTCAAAACAGTTCTTACCTTATTTGACTGATAGTAGAGGACAACAAGATATCTGTTACATACATTAAACCCTGACAAATGATCACAGGCATTTTTAGCATCAAAGATGTCTTCATACACCACAAAAGCTGTTCCTTTTGTATCTGGTGTATTTCCTCTGAAAACAATATATAAAAAGTTAATAATCAATAACATTCATAAGTAAATCAAACTATGGTCTACCTGTAATGTAAACATTCTGTATCAGAACTTGTTTACGTTTCCTGTTTGTATATCAGACAAAATATTTGCAAATAGCCATCCTGATCAGTGATGGCAAACCACACAAGTTTACTGTTTATCATATAACAAGGTTCCTTTATCTGTAGAAGTGTTAAAATTGCCACAGAGATGTTTACAAAGTGTGAACTATGAAAGTTTGCTTATAAAACTATTCTAATGTTGCTCTAACAAGCAATGTTAAGTTGACTTTATTCAACATTTCTTTTACTATTCAGAAAGATTTATTTGTACATGTATTTTCAGTCCAAACAAGCAGGGTTTTTTTTTTATAAATCACAGAAAAAAACTTACACTCTTATCTGTCTAATTGCACCATACTTGCCAAATATATCATACATTTCTTCTGCAGTGATTTTGTATGGTAAATTTCTGATGTATAAAATGCGGTTGACTTCTGGCGGAAGCCGCACCTGAAATTGAAATTATAATTAAAAAATTCACATAAATTCTCAATTTCAACACAATAAGACATTTTAAGAAGCATAAGTTGGTCAAGTGTGGTTAAGAATTTAAGATGTAGCCAACTCCATAATCCATTTCCTGATGTCACTGGAAAAAGTGGAATTCCTGCACATTTGTCAAACTGTTTTTTTTTTCCTCTACAACACAGACCATGCACTTTATAAGCAATATTTATACACACATCATAACGGATCAGAACATAGCTGAAGAAATGGTTTTATCATTACACTGACGATTACAGGATCTTACATGTGGTACAGGATAAACATTTACTCTCAGGTTAGTTGTTTTCACTGTGACATCACCTAATCGAGTCTACAACAAACTTGGATCGCGAGAAATGAGCAGAAAATGTTGAATTATTCCTACATTTTTAATTTTAAAAAGTTAACAGTGGTATTAGATGCAATTAGTTACGTTTATTGTTTATCAAAATGGTCTTTCGGATCGAAATGGCCCGAAAGACCATTTTGATATGTTGGCTTGTTTGAGGTAAATTATGATGGGGTGGGGAAAAGGGGTTTCATTCCTAGTGTTTATTTATACTATATAATATATATATAGGGGGTGTTTTTAGTATATTATCATTAATATTGTTTATTTGATAGCATCATCCTTCGAATTAGCACTGACTTGGAAAATCATGTGTTATATAAACATGAAAAAGGGGAATTAATTCTCACTAAAGTGACATTTTCCAAATATTTTTTTTCTGGTTATGTTATACATTATGCTCAATAAACAAATAAGTTTCAAAGAAATATCTTTATTATTTTTCTAGAAATTCAGGGCTCATCCGGAAGGGCGATTCAGGCGAAAACTTCGCCGTGTATATTTCCATTTCGCTCTCCCAATTGATCAAAGAGAAGTCAACATCGCCGATAAAATCTTAATTCCCAAAGACTAATTACTTGGCGATGTAAAGAGCAGAGATTGTATCCGCCCATTTGACGACTGCTAATTATCATTATCCAATCAGAGCGTCGCTTTTATACTACCTTCTACCTGTATGCAAAGCGATAGACCGCCTACTCTAAACAGTAAATAATGAGAGCATCGGCCCGAAACGGGTATAATTGCGTGACAGTTTTGCGATAGGCGATAATTATAGATTGTTTTTTCCCCGATCATCTAAACACGTGCAATATCTTCCCTAATTAATATACACGCGGTGTTTAACCCGAGTAATGGCGATGTGCAATGGGTTTTTCACGGCTATCACAAAACTGTTAGTCAATTAAAAATAATCAATTTCATTAATGATCAGCGACCGGATTAAAAACTTAATTATAGTTTTGAATGATTTCAGTCCGTTAACATGAATTAAAAATTGTTATGTCGCTCACATCATGGCTACAGGGCAAAATGCCCAAACCTAGCAGTAAAAGAAAAACTACGAATCATGATGGGCATGCTACATATCGGTCGTATATCATGTGTATATAACAACAAATTTTGTCAGGAAAGAAGTGTTCTTATAGTTTCAATATATATATTTGTTCTACTGTCATAAATATGACGCTCATATTAAGATTTATCAATATTGTAAATTTCAAAAGGCATTATTTATAAAGATATTACGAGTTAAACATTTCATGAAAATAAAGGGAGGTAATTAGACATTTATTTTCTATAATTTCTCAGTCAATTTTTTCAATAAGAAATGAACGTATGTAATTTTAGTGATCAAATATAATGTGCACAAATGTTTGCAGTACATATTTTACATATTCTTCGATGTTTGAAAATTGTTTTATAAGCATAATTATATGCACATAAATGTGACATTACAACATACAAGATCTTAAAAGAATTTCTGTAATCATTTTAACAGAACAGACAGATATTGTTCAGCAATATCCAATGCAACTTTATCTTCTAATAAAAGTGAGGAATGTATATAATAAAAAAATTAATTTATTCATCATACTTTTTTTACACATTATTATCAATCAATCTACATGAAAATAAATAAACAAATATTTAGAGAAAGCTTATAAATAGATTAATTGTGTTTATATTATAGTTAAAGGATGTATAGCCATGCATGTTAATGCATACACATTGGGTTCTTTCCCTTCTCCCTATTTTTCGCGAGGAAGTCACTTCTCCCTAAAATTTCCCCCCAGGATGAGCCCTGGAAATATGATTTTTTTATGTCATAAGCCCGATCGGGCATTTTCACCAGCCTGTTTAATGGAATCAGGGTCAGCTCGACCCTAAAACATACTTGGCCCTCGAGTCAGCTCGGCCCTATTCCAACTCTGCACGGGTCAACTTGGCCCATAATTATATATTACTGGTAATGATTACTTTTATAACTTTTGATATGTTTTCATCATAAGTCTCATGGTTTAACATTTTCACACTAACAGACCTCTACTCAAGGATATTGAAAAGTTTTATAGACGAAAGTACCAATTTGTATGTGAATTTGTAGAGAAAGAAAGAATTTACAATTTATACGCATGTTTTGCTACTCCAGATTTTTTGTAAAAAATATCGTTAAAACAGCATTGGTCTTATTAAAGAACAATTAGTATTAAATACAGTTACTGGGATCCTACATGTTTACCGGACAATCAGTTTTACCGGACAAAATCTATTCCTGTCAAATAAGACTTTATTTTTTGCTCTGATTCAAAAATCATCCGGTCTGAATCGTACACACACTTTCTATTTCAAAGTAAATAACAACAAAACCACTCTCAGGCAAATGTTGTTGATTCAGTTCTTTATTTACTTACATACCCTTTTGTTTACTAGATATTCCATGACCTGGTCATGCGAGGGCATAATCTGTTCTGCACAATTCCCTAATATTGAGGCCCTTAATGTGTTATTTTAGATAGGTTTTACTTTTAATTCTTCTCAACGTTACCTCAGGAGACAATCGTAACATATTTTAATGATAAAAAGTAATTCAAATTTTGTTAAAACAATATCTCGTTGTTGTCATTTACAAAGAAATGCAAATTAAAAAACATATAAGGAAACGGGTTACGTTTATTGAGTTAATAGTGTTAAGTTCAATTACACCCCTATATTGGCCTCTTCGTAACAAGCATGGCTGCCGCGTCTATTTTAGTGACATACTGGGTTTTTCCAGTATTTTAACATTGCCATTCAATAGTCGTAGTTTCCTTGCTTAATTTCAATTTAAGATCTAAAAATATTTTGAAACACAATGTCCGGTAAATTGAGTTGTTTAGACGATTTTTTCCTCTTTTAATGCCCTACTTTAAAGACACATTTCTACGGTCAGATGTTTAATTTTATGTTTGATTAAGGAATGTTTACGTATATTAAGAACCCACAATTATTTGGGTAAAATTTCATTCTTTTTTATTATCTTAAATAAAAGTTACAGCGAAGAAACATCATATTTTGTCCGGTAATATGTAGGATCCCAGTACATTTATTGTCACAAACATTCAATCTAAAAACTCTATTTATTGATCAATATTTAACATATATTTTCTTGATATCTCTTCTAAACATGCTTCACAAAGGGAAGTGGCTAGCCGTATGGGCCCGTACGGCTAGCCAAAAGTTCTAGCCGTACGTGAGTCACATACGACTAGCCTGGACACACTGTATTGGCTAGCCGTACGGCACTTTTCAAAATAATATGGAAGTCGAAAATGCATATGTTATTTTGTGTCTTTAAACGACGATTTTAATCAAATCTCTAAATTTGTCCTAGTGTGTTCACTTTAATAAAGATGCTCCGCAATTTTGCAAAAAAAAAATGAATACGAGTAAGCGTTGTATAATCTATCTTAATAAAATTAAGTGTCAAAGTTGCATGTTATAACGTCCTTAATTTTCATGCTTATGATTTGTATGAAAGATGAATTATTAAATCATTATTGTTAATTAAGCACATGGATCGAATAAATAATGATCGGAGGGGAATAAATAAATAAATGAAAAGAAAATTAAAAAAACGGTGAAAGGGAAAAATAATTTAATAATGCAAACTATCCTTAATGATGGACGATGAACAAACTTCTATACCGTCGGTATTTGACGCAATTATCATAGCCCGACAACAATTATTTTCGGTGTTTTTTTTTTTTTTTTTTTTTCAATTTAAAAATTAAACTTAATGAAACAAAAAATGATTATTATCAAAATTTTGTAAACTATTTCAATTGATGTTATTTAACTGCAACCAAACGCTATTTTTTCTCGACGTCTTGTGATGACAAAGTACGTACATTCTTTACTAGCTGTAGCCAACACGTCGATTAATCTCTAAAAAGTAAACATTCTTGACTAAAATCCTCGCTTAAAGTCATAATTAACATATGCACTTTCGCCTTCCATATATTTTTGAAAAGTGCCGTACGGCTAGCCAATACAGTGTGTCCTGGCTAGTCGTACGTGACTCACGTACGGCTAGAACTTTTGGCTAGCCGTACGGGCCCGTACGGCTAGCCACTTCCTTCACAAAGATAATTTCAAACAATACGTACAGGTACACTGCCAACTGATCATAAGTCTGAATAACTTTATAGTAATTTTCTCCTTAAAATTTTTATTAACTAAACAATCTAAACTATATGTTTTCAATAGAGGGCCGAGTTGACCCGTGCTGAGTTGGTATAGGGCCGAGTTGACCCTTTACCTGTTTAATGAGCGTCTAATGACCATGACTTAAAAGCATGTTTTATTCACTTGACGTATCAATCTCTCTTTTATTTAGAAGTTTTCAGCTGATAATCTACATTCAAAGACATCAAAACTTATAATATAAAGTATTTCTATCACAAAACAATATATAATAAACAAGAAATGATGTTTTTCTTACGTTTCCTTTTCTTCCCATCGCCATCTTGAAATTTTTATGTAGACTGTGTCATATTTGGAAAGATTGTTTATTTGAACGACAATTCATTTCAAAAGGCGGAAAGAAAATTTGAGCTTTTTGTGTAACTTTTATAATTTTAATAGGAATGCATTAAATCTTATTTTCGTAGCCGCGATCTTATTTTCGCGAAAATAGCTTATTTTCGGTATCCATCTAGGAAAAGGGCTTCAGTTTAAATTTAAAAAATAAAATAATGCAACATTTTGAAGAAATAAAGTTTAGAAAATATTTAAATTTTAATGCAGGTAAAGCTAATGTAATATGAAAAAGGCAAAGCCTCAAAGCGAGCTCGATGCACTTTTTACGTGAAATAGTATGAAATAATCGCTCAATTTTATTTCAAATGCAGTAACGAGTGCGTGTGACGTCACACGTACTGTGTTAAATATGGCTCCGCCCCTGTCGTGAAATGAATAACGAGTTTTGAAAACGTTGATAAAACTTTGTTTATTTTGTTTCACTCTATAATTTTTCAAGCGAAATAAAGATTATCTAAAGTGAAATAAATGTAAAACTTAAAACGTTTGCGACATTAAAATAGCGTACTTGATTTGTTTGTTTTGCACGTGCTGTTTGGCGCTACATTGTGACGTCAAGTAAACAATACTTTAAACGTCTGTACAGCGTTAACGACTGAATAAAAGATATTGGTGTTCGGATTCATTTTCTTAATTAGACCATTTTCTTTCATTCTAGATAGTTTTCACAACAAAATTCGACAAAAAATTGTTCTTATTTATCAAATTTTTCAAACAAAATGGCGCCTTCAATTATTATTTTTTTATACACAGCTTCCGTTATTCTGGTTCCCTGTCCAACTATGGTTCCCATAGACGTGCGCGGGTGACCAGTCTAGACATCCGTTTTCAGTCAGAATTCCTCAGTTTTTATCGTAATCCTTAAATTCGAAAGGTTGCGATGTGTCCAATTCGGTACTTTGGACGAAAGTTTTCAAAACCATCACTTAGCAGGTACTCGCGTTACCGTAAAGCTCGCTTTGCGAGCAGGCCCTTCGGGCCAGCTCGTCGAGCTCGCTATTAACATTAACGTTAATCAAAAATGTATATAGATCTGATTAATTCTAAATTTGTTGCTGTAGCCATTACCTTTCAAAACACTCAAAGAATAGTATTACATTTGTAGCATTAAAATTTGATCCGCTCCATGTTTGATCTATGTAGGTAATGTTAATCTCTGTTCAAACTAATAATTTATAATATATATGTAATAAAAACGGCTAAATTGAAAATGTTGTAGGTTCGTTTTGATTGATCCTGAATTTATATTAAATCACTGGTTCTCACAACAGCAACTATGTAGGTCACCGTTTATTTCTCATTAATCACGGAATTTAATTGCAATTAAAGTACGTGCATACATTGAGATGAAAATTATTCAGCAATCGAATACGTCATTTATTTCAAAGGCATCGGCTTTATTTCTATTTTATTTTTTTTTATCACGGTGACTTTTTAACATGTCTAACTAGTCATATTAACCAACAGCGTATGGTTATAATAAAGTATTGAAGAAGCTAAATCAATTACTCGTATTATCAGTCACAGACCCATTTACTAGATATTTAGGAGTATCCTGATTTGGGTGAGGTTTCATCACCGTAGGTCCAACAAGTCATTTTATTGCAAAGGTTTTTCAAAATAACCATGAACTATTCTACATTTGTGTAATTGAAAATTCTGGAAGAGGCTGATTCCTCGATGAGCTAATGGTTAATAATCGCTGAGTCGTTTCATGCTGTCCATGAGAGATAATAAAAGGCTCAACATCCATCATTTCTTTAACAGTGGTGTTCAATTCGCAAAATACGAAAAACAAGATCAACAAGAAAGGGCTACTTTCAATGTTTCAAGCATCCCCGAACACAACACAGCAACACAGGACCACCGGCATGGAGCACAGCATGACAGCAAACAGGACCAGCAATGGGGAAAATTTTAGACTTGATTTTGTGTATCTTCTTTGTTTTATCAAAATCACACTGTTTTCAATTTCTCTAATAAAATAGCTTTTCTGACGTACAACATGTCACTGCATGAGCTTCAAGGAATTAAAATTATCGTTTAACTGAAGTGATAGTGCCATGTCTGAATGTCATATTCTTTTTATCATTGTCTAATTTTATTTACCTAATAAATAACGTGCCAATTAGCCAGTCTATAGTCGACCGTTCTAAAACTTAACAGTTGAGAGAGGTAACGACTGAGGCAGTGTCACTCACTTCATTTGCTCTGCACTGTTGAAGTTCACTCCGCCTTAAATTCGTCGCTTGAAAACTGTAATGTTCTATCTCCAAATTTTCCAAAATCAAGTTAAATACACAATTTTGTCCAAAATGGACTGTTCTATCTCCTTGGCATGTTATATTAGTGCTTCACAGCTTCATAAATAAATTATAACGAAACCATCCTGTTCTATCTCCACAAATTTACTATGTCTTGATAAATAGACTGTTCTAACTTAGTGGACTAATCATATCATCGATAAATATCACGTGACCTGTGGGATATATGCAACATACTGTTCTAAATCCAAAATTATCGTATCAAAACATAGCATCAAATCACGTGATAGCAGGACACCCGCCATGTTGTACGAAACATATGAGTTAGATGGTTTGTTGTTTATTTAATATATTAATACTAAATATAAGTATTGAATGATATTATGTATTCATTTATTCCCTCCAATCATTGACATTTTAGTATTAAGTCCTGTAAATTCACTGCATGTAATTAAACAACAAGCAAAACTGATCATGATTTGAAAGTAATTTCGGATGTGTATTTTTGGATAGAAACAACTGTGATTATACAATTTCATCAAACAAATTTGTAAAAAAGAAAATTTGTTATATGTTCTAACGTTTCTTTAACATAAGGTACATTCTGTCTCAGAAACCAATTATTTATCTTTATAACAGACACATATTAGTTTAGAAAATTGACTGTACTCATTGCCAATATGAAACAAAAGCATAAGATGGTTTAGGTTACTGACCAATGTGGAATATTTTGGAAACTATAACAGAACTCCAAATATCAGGCTTTTGAGAGATTAAGATAAAAGCATTTCTGGGGCAAAAAAGGCCTTTAAGAAAATTTATAGATATTATACGTTTACATATAATATATGTTTTCGAATGCGTTAATGTTATATAACTAATAGATTGCTTTAAAGTAAACACATTTTATACCAAAGACAGAAGGAAGAAAAATATTCTTATACATATATTTTGTTTGTCTTGTAATTTGACTTTGAATTTCTAAATGAATATTTATATAGCATTATGTTTGTAATGTTTTTGTACACGAACAATTTTGAAATATGACATTTTTCAAATATAAGTCATGCCTGCTTCACCTTTAAGGTCTTTTCTATTAGATATGTTTTCATTGCCTATTTAAGTTATAGAAACATTTTTTTAACATACCTTCAATTATAAGAACTTCTTACCAACACAAACAGAATGTGTAAAGAGCATTACAAAATAATTACTACTATTTCATACTTTTGGAAGGAATTTGAATTTGACCATCTTTTGAATTTTCATTAAAAAAATCTTGAAAGATTTTTCCAGCATTCTAGAAAATTTGAAAGTTCTCTTTTCCCGTTTGCGGCTATAACTTTCTTTTCATAGACATTGAATCACTTTGAATGTGGCCAAAGTTATAAAAATAGATAAAATGTCTACAAAAATTATGTGGGTATTTTACCTTTATTTATTTAAATTATTTGTTTAAATGTCATTTAATAATGTAATGGATTTAGGGATTTTAATAAGATTTCGAATGTCATAGTTCATGTAGTTAGATACATATGGTCTAAGAAATAGTGTAGTGTCAAAGTCAACTAATTAAGGGATAATTAGCCGAGAGCATTTTTGGTAGCCTTTTAAAGATAAAACATACTGTTTTATATGCTATAAATCAATTTAACTTAAAAGACATAATGTTCTAAGTCACATTGAACACTCTGATTTTAACAATTTTTGAAAAAAAGTTACAAGGACCGTTCTATCTCCAAATGTTTTTTTAGGTTTTTAAGCGAGGAAAAATTAAAATCCACATATCTTTAACGATATTGAGATGTTCTCTCGACATCACGTTTAGTAGTTTTTAAATTTTCAAAATCCGACATTAAATAAAAAAGATATGCAATACTAAATCTTTACATGCTTTTTTCTCAAAAACAACAAATTGGCACTTAGAACAAAACGTTTTTCAAGCGACGAATTGTCACCAAATTTAGTATGATGCTTACTCTGTATGCTAGCATTTAGTCTTCGTTGACGGAGGGAAGGGAACCAGGACAACTATCATCAATATCACTTCTCTGCAACATTAGGACGAATCATTAAATTGCAAGTTACAAAGCCTAAGTCACGCTTACTATCAAAGAGGCGGTTCTCTCTCAATCGTAAAGAACGTACGCTTAGCTCACAGACCCGTAAGGCAAACATGCAATCTTGTGTTTAATCTTTTAGAAATAAGAAAACAATACGTCACTAAGAATTGATTATATTTATCTATTTATTCATAACTATTATTTGATATTACAGAAATATGTTTGATATTTGTAAAATAACAGAACAGTTCGTCCTCAAAATCATTCGATCATTATGCAATTCGCACCAATATTTAAATGGACATATTCTCGCCGCAACAAAGATATTTTTTTACCTCTGTCTTTGTCTTGAATTTATTTCAAGTATACCAATCATTTCAATTTTACTTGTTGTCCAATTTATTTTGATTCGATAAGACCTCGCAACAGACAAACGTGTCAGAATTTCAGACAAGGCATTACTTTGGGAATTTATGCATTAGGTTCTCCTTCTTCATAAAAATATGCAACGTAATTATTAAACAACGAACACATACCAAGAACATAGAGAAAAAAATGACTAGTGCTTCGGATATTCAACTGTAATAGAGAACGATTTTCGAGGCTGATTTTGTGCATTACCTGTGACTGTTCACATCATTTGGCAGCGTCTTTGATGTGCAGCATCAACATTAATTTTAACTTGTATATAATTGATTTGCTTAAAGATTTATACCTGGGCAAAAAACATTG